TTTACTTTGTTTGTTAATTGAAATTCTGCTGCAATGAATAACATTGAACTTGGAAACAAAACAAGACAAAACAAAACAAAACAAAAAAACAGTCACTATCTTGATTTAGAAGACAAAGACAGTTAATTAGGTCTTTGGGAATTGGAGGCCAGCCTGGTCTACACAGCTCAGTTTAAGCCAGTCGGAGTTATGCAATGAGACCTTGTCTGAAAACAAACAAACAAACAAACAAACAGCAACAACAAAAAGAGACAAAAGTCAGGAAGCAGTCATTTTAGGCAGGGTCTCCCAGAGCTGCCCCAGACTGTAGATGGAGCCTTTCTGGCAGGAAGCCATGGCGAGTGGTGAGCTCTTGGGTCTCTCTCAAGCACTTGCCCAGCTTTAGGTGAAGGGACCTTGGGACCTTTCTCCTATTGCTCACTGTTATCTCTGCAAAATTAAAAACATTGTCCCTGAATTGTCCTGAAGAGACAACTCAAAGTCAGAGTTATGGCCGAGATGAGGGCCCAGCAAATGGGGGTGGGGGTGTCAACTGTTTGCTTTTGTATGAGCTAAGAATGTTTTTGAATAAGTGAATCCCAAACTAAAATCTTACCAAAATACTGCACTCTGGAGTTCAGGCTGTAGTTCAGCAGTAGAGCATTTGCCTAGCACATATATGGACCCAGTTCCACACCTTGCCTCCCCAAAGAACAAGAATATACTTATTATACTTAATTATTTTGATTGTATTTTGAGTTCCACTAAAAAACAAAACTAACCCCAAAAACTATAGTTATTTGTTTTTGGCCCTTGATGCACAAAATACAAAGCAGATATCTTTCTCTTTGGCCTTTCCAGAAACAGTTTGTTTTATCTAAATGCCAGAGAAATGTTAGAAATAATATTGAAAAGTATGTAGGAAGAAGATGGACTAGCTACAAGCTAAATTACTTCTCAAAAATAACAGCCTGAGCTGGTGGTGCACACCTTTAATCCCAGCATTCAGGGAGGTAGAGGCAGGTGGATCTCTGTGAGATCAAGGCCAGCCTGGTCTACAAAGTCCAGGACAGCCAAGGCTACACAGAGAAACCCTCTCTCAAAAAACCAAACCAACCAACCAACCAACCAACCAACCAAACAAACAAACAAACAAACAAACAAACAGAAAACCCCATGCCTGTGTCTGAGGGAAATTTCAATCAAATTAACCAGGTCTTAAAAACATTCTTCATAGATTCTGTAGATTTGAGTTTGGAGAAGTTAATGAAGTTGGGGTCCAGTATTGCTTACAACTCTTGTACTAAGAAAGGAAAATAAAAGAGAAAGGAAGTGAAAAGGGAAATCGTATCATTTTTTAATTAATGATGATGATGATAAAAATGCTCATATGTAACCATGACGCTGAATACACTTTCGTGTTGCTGCATTGAGTAAACATTTTGTATTCATTACTGCATTCAATACTCATTATAGCTAGGAAAGGCTGAAGTCAGGGTGGCCCTTGACATCAACTCCAGTCTGCTAGCAATAAAATCCAGAAGGGGGTGGGGGGGAAGCATGAGATTAGAAAGTCAAGGGTCTTGAATGTTATGCTTTGGGAGGGACTAGATTCTGTTTATTTTTGCTGGGTCATTATTTAGACTAAGGGGCCCTGATGAATTCTCAGAAAGGATGTCAAATGGTCAGCTGTGTTCTGAGATGATAACGAAGATGGCTGTAGGAGGCAACTCTTAGGAGGCTGGAGAGCTAGAGCAAGGGAGAGTCTGTATCCGCTGTTACAGAGCACTTCCCTTGTTCAAGATGACTGCAGGTAACTGAGTGGACACACTCAGAGTCAAAGACAACTTCAGATTTTTTTGATGGCAAAATGAGAACCCAGACAGAAAACACATTTGTGAAAGAATGATGAGTCCTAGTAATAGGGATGACTCATACTCATCTCTCTGAACACAGGGGACTGATTAGTCAAGACCCTGAGGTACTAAAAGCCTCAGATACTCAAGTCTTTATATACAATGTCATACTGTTTGCCTGTAACCTATAGAAACTTCTGTAGTCTATTGTAATTTGCAATGCAAATGCCATGTAAATAATTGTGTACTGTGTAGGAGGGAAAGGGGAAAAAAAGGGAAAGAAAAGTCTGTATATGTTCAGTACAGATGTGCCCTGAATAATCACTTTATTGTCCTGGCACTATCAAATCAGGAATCACTCCAAAGCTTGGGAAGTTTTGTTCCGCAATTATTTGACTCTGCATACATAGACCCTGTGGTTACAGGCAGTATATTTATTTATAGTTCTGGAGAACATTCGGGAAGTTGTCTGGTGATGTCAGTCAAAAATGTGTGTCTAAAAGTTGAGAAATGACTGGCCTGGAAAGAGAGGTAATGGAAGAAGAGGACTGTGAGAAGCAGAGAGCAGGGGGAAAGACTGGGGAGCAAAGGGACATCAAGGGACTCAAGGGCTCTAGAGCCCCATGCCTGAGCAATCCCTCCATCACTGACTTGGGCAGAGGGGAAGTGTGGGGCAGTTAGAGAGGCTGGGTGGCTTTATCACATAAAAAAACCATTCCAGGAGGCATTAGTCAATGGAATGTTACTAAGCCAGGGATGAAAAAAAAAAAAAAAGACTGTAAACAGGCAAAAGGATTTGGTACTTAGAAGGTCACAGATGACGTCTGAGAAAGTGGGAGACTGATGGTGCCTAAGTACTCGCTGGCTGAGTGCTGAGGGTGGGGGAAGAGGCAGGAAGGCAGGCGGGGGCGGGGGGTGGGAGCTGGGGGTGAGGTGGTGTTTTAGGATAGTGGAAAAACTGTAAACAGAGAGTTAGGGAGAGGAAGACAATGAAAATGAAAAAAAAATCAATGAAATAAAAATCAGAAAAGGGAGAAACGGAAGAGATCAGGGGTTCTATTCCAGAAGGTTCCACACTGTTTGCTAAGCCGAACATACAATATCATTATGTTTTAAGGGTGGCTGGAAACTCTGGCATAGAAAGAGTTGTAAGGCAGTACCTGTGTGTTTCTCTGGTGCTGGTCCCAGAATTATCTTTCATTTTCTTCCGCTTCAGTGAAGATGAAACACTCAATTGGTCTTCCAGAGTTCCTGGATTTACAATTCAACTTACTGCCTTTTAGTTTTTTTAAACAGGGGTCTAAGTAGCCCAGGCTGGCTTCAAATCCATATTCTTCCTACCTCTGCCTGCAAAATGCTGGGACTACAGGTGCGCACCACCAAGCCTCACTGGTTTTATTTTGGCGTGAGAAGATCTAGAGAATTACATATTGATTCTCAAAGACTCGGCTCGTGCGCACTAGCCTACTTTATAAAAATGCCCGTCCTCGCTGGTTCCGGTGTGCCCCCACTGATCAGTGTGCTGCCAGTCCTCAAGACTGCCAAGCATAAACAATTCAGGAATAAAATCTGCTCCTTTTTCGGGTGAGGTCAGACGCGATCCACCGTTCTTTACGACTCTCAGGAGTTGCCTGGTCAGGGTTTGGTCAGTAAAACAACCGAGACAGTGGCTTCAAGATGGAAGACAGAAGAAAGAGCTAATTATTAGGGGTTTTGTTTGTCTGTTTTGGTGGAGGAAAGGACATAGTTTCTGCAGTGCCTTACAAGTTAGTATCTTTAGATCACCGCCCGCACCATCACCTGGAAACGACTGGAAACGCAGATTCTGAAGCCACGCTTCCAGTCTCCAGTTTCAGCACCTCTGGGGCTGGTACCCAGTCAGCGAGTCTTCATGACCCTCTGGGCAAGACTGCCCGGCCTAAGCGCTACGGGTTTATCGACACGCGGCCTTTGGACTCCACAGCGAGCGCCCATCCAGCAGGCGTCCCCCGGGGGCATTTGAGAGAACCCAGACTGGCGGCTGCCCCTCCCACCCCCAGACCCGCTCTCTCGGAACGCAGCCCGGCGTCCACTCCCGCGTCTGCACAGGCTCGGGGACCTCTCCCCGGTGGGTTCGGGGGCAGACGGCCCAAGTGGACGGGCCGCGAATTGCTTTAAAGCGCGTAACCCCACTGGGCCCGGTGCGCCGCACCCCGCTCGCTGTCACCCCGCGGCCGGGCTCGGGGTCCGGCCGGGTGGGAAGGAGGCTGTGCCGGGCAGAGCGGGCCCAGGCCCCCCGGCGGGCCGCGAGCAGGTGTGCGGGGAAGGGTCCGCGGCTCGGCGCCCCGGGGCGCGCGGGCGG